CAAACTACCCAAAGCAATATACAATTTTAATGTAATCCCTATTAAAGCACCACTGTCATACCTTTCTTTTTTTTAGAGATGGGTCTTGCTCTTGCTCAGGCTGGTCTTAAACACCTGAGCCCAAGCAATCCACCTGCCTTGGCCTTCAGAATGCTAGGATTACAGACGTGAGCCACTGCACCTAGACCCTTCTATTTTTTTTTAAATAGTCATCCCTCGGTATCTGAGGGGGATTAGTTCTAGGACCCCCCAGGATGTCAAAATCTGGATGCTTAAGTCTCTTATAAAAAATGGTATAATATTTGCATACAACTTTAAATCCTATATACTTCAAATCATCTCTAAATTGCTTATAATATAAATGTTAAATAAATAATTACACTGGATTGTTTTTTAATTTACACAAATTTTTATTGTTGTATTGTTAATTTGGGTTTTTTCCTATGAATATTTTCTTTCCTTTTTTTTTTTGACACAGCCTCTCAAGCTGTTACCCTGGGTAGAGTGCTGTGGCATCATAGCTCACAGCAACTTCCAACTCTTGAGCTCAAGCAATCCTCTTGCCTCAGTTTTTCTATTTCTAGTAGAGACAGAGTCTTGCTTTTGCTCATGCTGTTCTTAAACTCTTGAGGTCAAGGAATCTACCCACTAGGATTACAGGAGTAAAGCACTGTGCCTGGCCATTTCTGAATATTTTCAATGCACAGTTGGTGGAATCTGCAGATATGTAACCCAAAGATACAAAGGGCCACTGTAATTGGTAACATTATATGGTATTTGATAATAGCCCATAAAATAAAATAAATCTTTAGGTCCATATTAATATAAAAATATAATTGAATAAATAAATGGGGAGAAGGGATTATCTTCCTTAATTTGGAATTCCAGCTGATAAATGTAGAAAGAATAATGGAAACAAAAATCATCAGGCAAAAACCCCAGTAATAATTGTTGCAGGCAAGAACCACTGATAGGTATACGTTTAGTGGGCTGGGTAACATTACGATAAGAAGTAAGATAATCTCTCCCCATGAGATACTAATTACAAAGGGAGAAACTGCCCAAATACTACTTTAACCAGCTAAAGATGACTGCAATAGTAATAAGACATTTTGATGACATGTACTTCCTGATATGGTGAACTGAGAAAAAGCACAGCATCACTTCTTTAGTATTCTTGCAAAAAAAGAACAGAAAAATGCAGCTACTTGGGAGGTTAAGAATCACTTAAGCCCAGGAGTCTGAGGTTGCTGTGAGCTATGATGCCACAGCACTCTACCAGGGTGATAGATAGTGCTGTGAGTGCCAGGCCTGTGTAACTGCATCCACAGGTAAAGCTGAAGACGAAGGAGAGGAAGCATGTACAAGCAAAAGGAAGGGACTGGAGGCCTGCTCTGAGTTCCAGACCCAAGGCCTGCACCACCGTCACTGCTCTGGCTGGTATTTCCTCAAAGGTAAAATTAGGGGAGGTATCTTCGTAGCTCTCTTAAGTCCAGGTTGCTGCTTCATCGAGCAATGAGCGGTGCTCTCTAGCGGGTGGCAGGGGCTGGCCATCTTGCTCGCTGCACTGAGTCGCGAATTGACTTTCATTGCCCAATGAAGCACCATTACCAATACAGAGCCCTCCCTCACGACTTCCCAGGAGCAATGTTCACCTCTCTCCGTGCGTGCCCCAGAGCAACGCCAGCTCCCCGCAGCGGGCGATCTTAAGTAACAAGAACTGCAAGGGGCTGCTAACGTCCCCGGATGCCAAGAGCAATGGGTCTGTCTTGGAAATGAGGCTAGAGAAACGAGCCCCTCTACCAACGCCATCCCTTGCCTGGGACCAAGGTTAAGCGCTCTCCCTTTTCCCAACGACTACCACGCTCACCGCAAAGTGCAGCCTCCACAGACCCCAGGACCGCCCCGTGCGCAGTCCCGAGCGGCAGCCGCGGCAGCACCATGACCCGCTCGCGCAGCCGCGGCGCTGACCACTTCCTCCGGCTCTTTCTGGGCTCCGGCCCGCGACCGCGCCGCGGGCTCTCGAGCGCCCTCCAGCCAAGCGCCGGCCAACCGGGGCAGTGCCGCAAGGCGTAAACGCCGACACCGACCGCCCTACTTGAAAATCATCCGGGAGAAAACTAAGGGTTATAGGGGCTTTTCTGGTTTTGATTATTATTTCTTAGGAGAGACAAGTTTACAAATGAAAAGGAAAATATGTGGCCCAGCTACTATTTAAAGATTTAAAGTACATTAACGTCTCCAATTTATTTTATAACATGATTTTCATACATGAGATTAAATTAAAGCAAACTCCGTAGATAATTTTCTAAAAATTGTTCTTAACGCCAATAGCTGGCTCAACTGATGTCAGTGTAACGGCACTCGCCCATAGTCGCAGCTACTCCCGAGGCTGAGGCGGGAAGATTGCTTGAGCCCAGGAATCTGAGGTTGCAGTGAACTATGATCACGCCATTGCTCTCCACTGAGGTGACAGAGAGACTGTCTCAAACAAAAGAAAACAAACAAACAAAACTTAGTGTTAGGTAATGTTCCCTAGTTCATGCTAAGTTTTGAAATGGAGATTGCAGTCCCTGGAGATTTTGATCATGCTAAGGGTACATCTGCCGAAAATAAAGATAGCTTTGAAATTTGTCTTTTCCAAGAAAAAATTAAGTATTGTATGGTGGTTTGGATAATTTAAAATTTCTTTTTGTGAGGAAAAGAATATAAATTTCCATATTCTAATTCAATCCCTTTTTTACAGTATTCTGGGTTCCAATATATGGTACATTTTCAAAAATCCCTTTTACTACAACACGAGTTAGGGTACAAATTATTTAGATTTGCTCAAGTTTGCTTTTTTCTGCCTTCTACATTCTATGTCAAATCTGATATTAAAATATATGAAAGCTTTTGATTTATGAAGTAGACAACTTTAACTTCAAAATTAGACCACAACACAATCTATTCTTATTTGAAGAATATTTTCTTTTTACCTAGGGAAAAAAATGTCTCCTTTTGTTTTGGGCCACAAAAGATTATTATGTATGCCCCTATCTAGCAGTGTACACAATTGTATTTGCTAAATGAATAGTTCCTATAAATATAAACAATAACAGCCTCCCTTGCCAAGTTCACCACATAGAAATAATGTGAGAAAAAAATTAAGAACTTTTAAAGTAAAATTAGATTTCTAAAAAATTTAACCTAATCTAATCCAAGGATCTTATCCATAAGGACACACTTGCCCCTTGGCTGAAGAGTTATGAAAGTTTAGGACACTTCTAGAACCTATCCATAAGCAGAGTTGACGTTTGCTGTACCTATGATTCAAACTACTTTCAAGCCAACTCCTTGTACTAAATCTGCAATACACAACCACTTTTTTAAAATTAAATCATAGCAGTGTACATTAATACTATCATGGGGTACAGCATACTGTTTCTGTATACAATTTGAAATACTTTCATCCAACTGGTCAACATAACCTTCATGTCTTTTTCTTAGTTATTATGTTAAGACATTTATATTCTACAGTTAGAGAGATTCACATGTACCCTTAAGGATGAACCATAGGCGTGATCCCACCAATCACCCTCCCTCCACCCACTCTCCCCCTCTTCCCACCCCTCCCTCTCCCCTCTCCCCATATTCCTGGGCTAAAATTGGGTTATAGCTTTGCTATGAAAGCTATAAATTATGTTTTATAGTAAGGCGGAGTACATTGGATACTTTTTTCTTCCATTCTTGGGATACTTTGCTAAGAAGAATATTTTCCAGCTCCATCCATGTAAACATGAAAGAGGTAAAGTCTCCATCTTTCTAATGGCTGCATAGTATTCCATGGTGTATATATACCACAATTTATTGATCCATTCGTGGATCGATGGGCTCTTGGGCTTCTTCCATGACCTAGCAATTATGAATTGGGCTTCAATGAACATTCTGATACAAATATCTTTATTGTAGTGTGATTTTTGGTCTCCTGGATATATACCTAATAGAGGAATTATAGGATCAAAGGGCAGGTCTATTTTTAGTTTTTTAAGTGTTCTCCAGATGTCTTTCCAAAAGGAACTTATTAGTTTGCAATCCCACCAGCAGTGTAGAAGTGTTCCCTTTTCTCCACAACCACGCCAGCATCTGTAATTTTGGGATTTTTGTGATATGGGCCAATACACAACCACTTTAACAGATAATTGAGCTTTGAAAGAGGTAGGTCAAGAAATGTACTGTCTAGTTCGGAAGTAAGAGTGACAAGTAATATGACAGTAATTTTTTTTAAAAGCTGGATAATATAGGATGTACGTCAGGCGTGACTTTAGAGTTCAAGTCAGGGTGATGGGAGGAGATCGGAGGCTGTCCTAGACGGCGCCCAGCAACAAGTGGCACTTAAGCCGGACGATCCGAGTTGCCCACTCTAGACCAACACACCGGGAGTCCACAGGGGCTCCAAGGAAGCAGGCTCCTGGCGAGCCGCCCCGCCCTCCGCGCGCGCCTGGCGCTGGATCCCGCCGGGGCCAAGTGGCCGTCACCGCACGCCCCGCCCCGCCCGCTCCCGGGACGGCGGCGCAGGCGCAGTCTCTCCGGGACCTTGACGCGGCTGCCTGGCCGGGCGGGGTGAGTCGGGCGCACGGTGTTGTGCTGGCTGGAGGTTCCCGACCTTCGCTTCGGGCGTCCCTGACTCCCTTGTGGGTGGGCAAGGCTGCGAGAGGGGCCCCCTAGTCCTTTTCCCCGTCCTGATCCCGGCGTGGGGGTGGGGGGGAGGCGCCAGGCTGTCGCCGAGGGCAGTGTAAGCGCAGCCCTGCCGGCTCCTGTACCGGCGGCTGCGGGAGGAGCAGCCGGGGAGGGCCTGAGTCCAGCCTCGCGGTGACCCGGGCGCGCGTGGCCCGACACCCTCTGTCCGCCCTCTCGTCCCCGTGCATTTTCTGAGGTTCCTGAGGTGTTAGTGATCGGAGGAAGTGTGTCTAACCACAGTTTTCTGGCACCATCGTGTATTAGGAAGTCTGGAGTAGGACCGCCTGGGTCCACATCCGCATCCTCCACTCACTGGCTCTGGGACCTCCCTACACACGTCTCTTAGCCCCTCTGCCTCAGTTTCAGATGTAAAAGAAGGATAGTAGCACAACCCCATAAGGTGGTCGTGGGGATTAAGTGGCTTATTATCTGTGAGGTGCTTTGAACTGAGCGTGATGCGCGGCAAAGCTCTAAGTCATCACAAGCTCTTCATCTTTTTTAGCTTAGTATCTAAAAAAGAGATTGTCCCTTTCTTCTTCTCCCCACCCCCTAAAATAACTGCTCCACAATAGAAAAACAAGATGATGATGATGATGATTTGGGAGAATATGGGCTTTTCATAGCTTGTTTGAAAACAGCATAAAGCTTTTTAAAGAACTTAGTCGGACACTCTACATTAGAGAGAAGACAGGTGTTAAGTGATGAAGTTGAAAACTGTTAAAGTTTAATGTTTGGAAAACCGCTTGAGAAAAATGGCCAGAACATGTTGTGCTGAAAACGAGTTAACATAGCAGCCTGAGACTACCATCCTTAGGAAGACCTGCCAGCAAGGGTAGCCCTGGGAACTTGGATTTGGAAAGTGTGTGTTGAACTATGTAGTTTATGCCAGAATACCAGCTTCCATGAAAATTCTGGGCGCTATTGGGCACCCCAGAAGCATTATTAATGTGTTGCTGCATTCTCCGTGTTGGGGGAAGAGTGTTCTGTGTGACCCCACCTGGGAGACATGCAGGATAAGGAAGCCGACTTGTGATTCTTCCCCACTCCATGGTGTCTTTTTCCATTTTAGTCCGGGTGTATATCTGGACTACATTGTAGTAATAAAGGTTAGCCATGAATACAACTATTAATATATGCTAATTCCTGTGACTCCTACGGACTCTCCAAATGTGGGAGATGTCTTGGAGATCTCCAGACACAATTTTGATGATAGAAAGTATTTGAAATTATGATAATTGGACTTTAATTTTATCTCTTTTTGCCTTAAATGGAAATTGGAAAACTGTACATATAAGTGATTGCTAAATTGTGTGTTACTGTACTTAATGATTCTTTCTGGTTAGGCATATTAAACATGTCAGAAAAATCATCACAAATTTTCTCTGTGGGCCAGGCACAGTGGCTCATGCCTGTAATCCTAGTACTTTAGAGGACAATTTGGGGTCAGAAGTTCTGAGACCAGCTTGAAGAAAGAAAGACCCTCACAGCTCTTAAATAATAGAAAAATTAGCCAGGCATGGCGCTGTGCACCTGTAGTCCCAGCTACTCAGAAGGGCTGAGGCAGGAGGATTGCTTGAGCCCATGAGTTTGAGGTTGCTGTGAGCTAGGTTGAGGCCACTTAGGACTCTGTCTAAAAAATAAGAAAGGAAGAAAAGTGGGAGGGGAAGGAGAGAGAGAAGGGAAGGAAGGAAGAAAGAAAATTTGATTGAATCTTATTTGAAAAACTAGCTATTGAAGATGCTTTTGCTTTAGGGCTAAAGAAATTGAATATGGGCTGGACTAGGTGGCTCACACTTGTAATCCTTGCTCTCTGGGAGGCTGAGCTGGGTGGATGGCCTGAGTTCAGGAGTATGAGACCACTCTGAGAGGAGCAAGACCCCATCTCTACTTAAAATAGAAAACCTAGCTGGGAGTTGTGGCAGCCACTTGTAGTTGCAGCTGCTTGGGAGGGTGAGTCAAGAGGATCGCTTGAGTCCAAGAGTTTGAGGTTACTTGTGACCTATGACACCACAGCACTCTACCTAGGGTAACAAAGTCAGACTGTGTCTCAAAAAAAAAAGAAAAAAATAAAAATAAAACAAAACAAAGCAAAGGGAATTAAAATATATAATAGGATATATTAGAGAATTATTGTTAATTTTCTTAGGTGTGATAATGATGTAGTGTAACTACATGTCTAGAAGAAACATCCTGAAGTATTTATGGGTGAAGTGTCATGATCTCTGCAACTTACTGAAATTGTTCAGCAGAAAAAGAAACAAATATATGTTTACATGAGCACACATATCTCTGTGTACACACATATTGATCTTTAGGTAAAACAAATATGATAATGTTAATAGATGTGGAATCTGATAGCATATGAGTGTTCGTTGCGTTAATTTTGTTGCTGTTTAAAGTTTTTCATAATAGTCTCGGCGCCTGTGGCTCAAGTGGCTAAGGTGCCAGCCACATACACCTAAGGTGGTGGGTTCGAATCCAGCCCAGGCCCGCCAAACAACAATGATGGCTGCAACCAAAAAATAGCCGGGCATTGTGGCGGGCGCCTGTGGTCCCAGCTACTTGGGAAGCTGAGGCAGGAGACTCGCTTGAGCCCAGGAGTTGGAGGTTGCTGTGAGCTGTGATGCCATGGCACTCTACCCAGGGGTACAGCTTGAGGCTCTGTCTCAAAATAAATAAATAAATAATAAAGTTTTTCATAATAAAAAGTTGGAGAAAAAAACAAAAAATGCTGTAACTTAAAAAGGTAGAAATTTATTTTCTCTTAATATTCCGGCACTAGGTAGGACGGCTTTACTGTGTTTGGCTTACAGCTTCCTTCCCTAGTCCAGGGTGTCTCTTCTTGTTCCTACTATTTCCTTGCTAGGGGAAGGGAGGAAAGGGCAAAAGGAGCACATTTCTCAGCAGCATTTACTTCACTGACCAAACCAGGTTTTTAATTCTCTGGGATGTCATATATTTAGGGGGTATGTGGCTATGTCTTAGTTCAGGTTGCTATAACAAATTATCATAGACCGGTGGCTTAAACAACAAACATTTATTTCTTACCGTACCGGAGGCTGTGAAGTCCAAGACCAAGGTGCCAGCAGGCCTGGTGTCTAGTGAGGGCACGCTCCTAGTTTGTAGATGCCAGTCTTCTTGTTTCCTCGTGTGGACTCAAGTTAGTGTTCTGGCCTCTTCTTGTAACAGACTAATCCTATTCATGAGGGACCACATTCATGACCTAATTACCACCCCAGATTCCACCCCCACATTGGTAATTAGTTTTTGACATACGTATTTTTGGAGGTGGACGCAACCATTTAGCCTGTAACAGGGTGGTTGGTAAAAGTCAAAATGGAATCTACCATTTGTATATTGACTTAATAAAGATTTCGTTGATTTCAGCTGATATTCTCCTTTTCTTCCTCCATTGATTTGCTAGACCAATTAAATTCTAAGTCATTTTAGTTTTGATATACATTAAACAAAATATATAAGACTTTAATTTTGAAGATTGTATATTCATTTTTTTCTTCTAAATCTTTTCAGTAAATAACAGATGCGGGTGAAAGATCCAACCAAACCTTTACCTGAGAAAGCCAAAAGAAGCAAAAAGCCTACTATACCTCATGATGAAGACTCTTCGGATGACATTACAGGTAAATTATGTCTCCGTGTCTGCCTCCCAATAGCGTCAAGGACAAGAAATAACAATGCACGTGAGCCTTGAACACCATGAGTTTGAACCACACAGAGTCCACCTTTTACGTGGATTTTTTCCCACCCAAATGCTGATGGAAAATATAGTATTTGAGAGATGTTAAAACCTCCTACTGACAGGACCTGCTTTTCTTATAGGCAGATTCCCCACGGCCAACTGTGGGACTTAAAAAAAATTTTTATAAATTTTAATAGATGAGAGGGTACAAGTTGAATTCTGTTATATGTATATATTATACAGTTGTGGAGTCTGGACTTTTAGTGTGGCTATCCCCTGAGTGGTGTGCATGGCACCCTGTAGGTAATTTTTCATCCTTCCCCATTCCATCCCCTCCTTTGAGTCTTCAGTGTCTATTAGAGTATGTGCAGATTTTGGTATACTCAGGTCCTGGAATCAGTCTCTGCATGTACCAATGAACAACTGTTAGGTTTTAAATTAATAAATCCATTATTCTTTATTTTCACTGTTTTATGTATAAGCTTTAGTGTCTAGTTTCAAAAACTGCTGTTGGTGTACTTATTGGAATCTTGTTTAGTTTAGAAAGTAACTTAGATCGCATCTTTTTCTTATTGTTTCTTTCTCGAGTCCCATTAAAACCAAGTCTCCAGGGCATCCAAGATTGGCAGATGGCCCTTGGGAGCTGCTGGCTTATGGCTTACTTTTATCTTTAGCCTCTTTCCTTAGGTTTTGGCCTTGAGGATTTTGCTCAGTTTCTTAGCTCAGTTCTCTATTTAAAAAGATACTTAAAATACATAATTGCCATTTTTTAAGTATTTTCAACTTGGATAGCATTTCAGGATGGCTAGTTTGCTGTATCAAAGGAAGTCTGAAATGTATCTTTACATATGTTCTATTCTGTTCATGCAGTATATTTCATATGATTATTCTTTTTTTCTTTTGAGACAGAGGCTCACTTGTTGCCCTTGGTAGAATGCCATGATGTGATAGCTCACAGCAACCTCAAACTCTTAGGCTCAAGCAATTCTCTTGCCTCAGCCTCCCAAGTAGCTGGGACTACAGGCACCCACCACAACCCTCAGCTATCTTTTGGAGACGAGGTCTTGCTCTGGCTCAGGCTGGTTTCCAACCAGTGAGCTCAAGCAATTCACCCACCTCGGCCTCCCAGAGTGCTGGGATTACAAGTGTGAACCACTGCGCCCAGCCTATATGGTTATGCTTATGTGAACTCTCATTTGCCTTTCTTCCTTCCAAGGTTATTTTTTCTCCAGTCCTCTAAAACTCTTACTTCCTTTTCATTCTGCTTGCTGTTTTCATTTTTATCCTTTACTGTATTTACAGCAGTGTCTGTTTCATCTTATATTATTTTTATTTTAGCCTTCATTTTTGTGGTTTTCTGTATTTATTTTTGTTCCACTTCTTTCCTGAACTTTGCTGGTCACTTCCTATTGTTTTGCCATCTTGTCCTAGAGCTCTTGCTTCTGTTTTGTGTTCTTATTTATGGCAGAGATTTCTCGGCTATTTGTTTTTTCCGTTTCTTCATTACTTTTTCTTATTATAGAATTTGTGACTTTAATTTCTCTTTGATTACTCATTCTTCTCCTCAAACAGTGACAGACTGTATTGTGAGGGGGGTTCCCACCTGGGACCCTGCCCTCTTAAATAATAAGGTGCATAGAAAAGGAAGGATTTGGAAACATATATAGAATCCACCTCCTGCACCCCCAGAGTGGAAATGGGGGTTGTGACTGCTAGATGGGCCAGAGGGGTGGAGGCAGCTCCTTTGCCACCTGCATGCCCACATCCACCCAGAACAGGAGAGTGGGAGTAAGATGCTCTGGGAGGGACCAGAGGCAAGAAGGTGATTAATCGTTCTGTGATGTAAGGTTACTTATCTTGGACTAAGGAACTTTAGACTATTTGGGTAAAAAGGGTCTTATTGAGACCCACCTGGAGTTTTGAGTTTGAGTTCATTTTAGCCTTTACTTTTTTCCAACCAAAAAATGCAGCCCTGAATTATACAGGCCTGGTTTTTTCATAATCCGAAGTGTCTCTTCTCCCCAACTGCCATAGAGACAGGACTGCTTCCTACAAATATG